TCTATGGTCGGGTTGTTGTCTCTTTGACACATTCCCCATTTCCATTCTCAATTTTATTTCCATTTCTATGTAGTAACATTCCAGCAGCGCCTGCATACGGAGTAAATATCTCCCAGTTGATACGATATTCCAGAGCTTGTGTTTCCTTTGATAGAGGGTTTCTGCTCACAAGGAAGCTATTAAACCAAGAGTTCCAAGTGGTGAAGTTGAAATCATCCCTTCGTAAATTTTACGGACGCCATCACGAGTTGGTTGGCCGTAATGGAATATCTGTTTCACAGATGACGAAGGTCATGTTCCAATTCACGTAACTACAATCTCGTCCCTTTCCTGCGGATGTGACCTACCGAATTAGACATATCACCGGGTTTGTACTTACATGAGCCACACGACGGGTGCCACATGGGAGCAGGATCTGCTTACCCTTCCGGAGCACCTGAGATTACCCCCAGTTTTTGGTGGGGTTCATGTGGCTCAGTCTTTGGTTTTCTATGTTGTTTTGTATACTGTTGTTTGTCTCTTAGTCTTTTTCTTTTTTAGCCATGGCGTTGTCAGTTTATTTTCGATTTATGAGTTTGAATGTCCCTTTGGTATCCTTCGCCTCTCTTTTAGAATGGAGCTCCAGAACGGAATGTATAGCAATGTATTGGATTAAAAAATATCAATTACAAATATCACTTTATAAGTTTGGTATGTCCTAAGCATAGTGCTCCTCTCTCTGGAAATATGACTTCTTTCATTTTCAGCGGTTCAATAAACTGGAGTCATAAATGTAAAAAAAACTTTCGTACGTCATTTATGAAATTGTATGGAAATATGAATATGTATCTCTATACCTTTGTAATTTGGTTTGTGAGAATAAAGATGTACTTAGTCTTTTGTACATAAATGAATTTGCTTGAGATCTCTTATAATCATGTCTTGCGCTCATTTGTTTTTTGCTTTGAAAATGTATGAAATATAATAGAAGTAGGCAACCAACAATCTACCAGAATGAGTCCGCAGAACTATACCATTTTTTTATATCATACATGCCAAAATGACATAAAAATAAAGTTAAATACCGTTTATGAGACCTAAAACACACTCAAGCTCTATATCATAATTAACAAACTTCAGAATTGCGTTTTCTAATGAGTATGCACTCTCAACAACATTTATTGTTTTATTGAAATTAAATCATTCGTATAATTTTTTTAAGCGTTTTGCAGTGAAAGTGCAACAGTAATTGAATGCAACATTTGAAATTATTACTTTTTACATAGCACATTAAAATTTATCATTTCTATATTTCAATCGAATTTGGCAACCTGTTTCTGTCTGGTCGTCAGAGTTGTTACCAAATAACAAATTGGTGTTTCATATATTTTATTATTTGTTGATTCTAAGAATAAATATGGGACATTAAAACTCCTCCGGTTGTGCAGGTAGACCCATGCTTAGGAACAATCGTTAATATGTCTTGTGGGGTCAATGGTAGACTCGCATCAATAGAAAATTACCTGTCCTACCTGACAAACATTTGTTTCCGCTTGCATTCCAAGTTCCATGCCCTATTTAACTTAATTGTTCTAAAATTGAATACGCATTACCTTAACGGTTGAATGGGGTATAGAAATGTGGTCATCAGGGCTTCGTCTGAAAACAAGAGGACGTTGCGATACTTATAAAAACGCATCCATGTTCAGTTGGCATGAGAATGTTATATCAGATGTCTCGTATAGTGATAGTAATACGCTTTTTATACATAAAAGAAAACTTGCAACAACTCTTTCAAGAGTCCGGAGGTGGCCTGTTCAGGCAAAATGACTGCACCTCTGTAACATACACTCCTTTTTCATTGGCAGTCGAAATTTCTCACTCATTGTCACAATCCACCATCTTTGCAGATTCTACATATAAAGTAAACCATAATCAATAATTCTCATATAATTTGAATATTTGAAAATATTCAAATGTGATTAGTCCACTAGAATTTTTTCCCTTGGTTTACATATTAAAACAATGCGTCGTAACCTATGTAAACACTATGTCGATTTCACTGTGATATATTCATACGCCATATACATACGAATGAAATCCTAGGGTCCCAAGGAATTTGAAAGTGAAAGAAAACAATATAAAGTGTTTTGATAGAGAATTATAAGGATAAAATTTCGTAAATTGTGATGAACATGGAAGAGAGAGGAAGTTATCTGCAATCCGTGATTATAGCATACATTTAGTTTTTGTTTAATACACAAATATTCCGTAACAACCACTCTTTGTGTCGAACTTGGGAATTGTTGGCAAAGGGGAGACAAATCTGAAGTAGGACCTAGGAATAGTATACAAAATTATGTCCCATGTAGAACTAACTAGTTTGGTGAAATGAAAATCTGTTAAAGGGTCAATAATTTAATAATGACTTTTATAGAAAACAAATGACAAAGAGAAGTTATTTTGAATGTAATGAGCACTGGAATTATTGAATAAATTAGTTTAACACAACAGCCATACCTAAAATAAAGTATAACTAAATGAAATGATCTTATTTCCATACCTGAAATATAATAAGGAATATATATATATATATATATATATATATATCATCTATATCAAACAGTACTTTGTTGTGACGTTTATGGCAAAAGAGACAAACTCCGATCATGAAAAGGCAAACATTTAATATACATTTAAATACACTAGATTATTCTTTTTAATTCTTATTTTTCAAATTCTGCTGGGCATGTTTTGGGTTCTGTTTTGGACTCTGATTTGCCTCTGTCTCACCCATTACAGTGTGCTTTGGCAATTTTGTGGTTTAAACTTTATGGTTTTAAATGTTTTCTGAAGTCAATTCTTTAGCATTTCAGTTTTCAAGAAATATCTATGGCATGAACCTGTCTGCCGTGGCATTCGACGACTTGATGAGCAGTTGACTGTGCGGCCTTAAACATGTCTCGCAAATGACGTTGCGTAGTCAAATTTTATTGACGTGGCGATGTAACTTCATATTGATCTGGTCATGGGTGGTCGACAACAAATCCCGTCTGGCTGTACCGTTGTTGTAAGGACAGAAAGAGGAGTTTCTGACGTTAAATTATCTAGCAACAGCACGTTCACGTATTCCTGCCTCTAATATTCTTATGGCCTGATTCAAATTTTCATTGCTCATTTATGGGTTTCAAATATCGCTTTAAGAAATTCATGCGACTTCAATAAACCGGTATGTTCAATAACTTATATAAGTCAGGTATTGATTTTTTCTAAACAGAAAGAAGTAACGGTTAGTATGAATAGTAGTTATATGAGGATCAATCATAATTTGGAAAAATAAAAATCACCAAAATGTGTGTTGCGTTTTTAAAGTCCGTCAGTATAAATTATTATGTTTGCTGTTCGTTAAACAAAACTCCAATGACATATTTGGAACGAAATAATATATAAAAGAAATATCACTTTATTCCTATTCATAACCTTAACTTTTGTTGAAATTCAAAGTTCTCGAAGATGATCAAATATTAAATAAAATACAGCAGAATAAAGAAAAATTCCCCAAAATAGACTTCATAATGTTTACAACAGCAAACAAACAAACAATAACTTTATCAAAGCAAAGAAAAGTTGGAAAAGAAATTAGCAAAGAAAACGTATACTTGCAAACTTTATTTTAAACCACTGCTATGCATAAAATGAAGGGACGAAAAACACCATAGCTGACAATAACAAGGAGAATACATCTATCAAAAAAATGATTATTTATTGGCGTCAAATACTTAGATCTTGTAGTTCGTTTTGACGTACTTTTGAATTGGCACGTTCAGATCACTATTTCGGATAATTGGTTTACATCTAAAGTCTAGTTTAGATTAGTTAATAAATATAATTTTAGGACTCTGAACCGCGATGGTACTCGATGGTTTGACGCTGAAGTGTGTTTTTGATCACGCTGAAGTGCGATGGTCTACACAAGCTACATTTTCAATGCTTTTCATATCGATGTAGAAATCAATTTGTATGTTAGAAGCAGTTTTCCAGGTTTAAAGTTGATAAGTGGCTTACAAACTTTAAATACTACAAGAAACGGGGAGGATTGGTGGATAGGGGATAAAAGAAGTTACCCTACAGTAGCGAGTTGTTTTCGAAATCTACAAATGTCCTTTTTACGCTCGATGGGGCATGACATTCTCTAAATACATTGGTATGACAGAACTTTCCGTATTATAATATTACGGTAAACGGGGAACTCATGAGAGGAACAAAGTAAAGATAAAATGTTAATGCATAATTATGTCCACATGTCGAAAATCAAAGGGGACGATCTCTCATTTGGTATGCAACTGTAATTAAGGATAGACATAGACAGTAATGAATGTAAATTTATATACAATGTACTATTAAAAAATCTACATGGACGTCTCAATATAATCTGTAGATTTTTAACTCTTTTTGTATAGACCATCGCACATCAGCGAACGGACCATCGCACTTCGGCGTGGACCATCGCACCTCAGCATGACAACCGCACTTCAGCGTCCCCATCGCACCTCCGAGTCCTACATATATAAAGAGAGAAGATAGTGTGGAATGTAAATGTGCAATATTTTGCTATATTTCTTTACTAAGAATAAATAAACTGATTGCATAACTATTTCTTGTATTTAGCAATGGATGGTTTGCTGGATTTATCAAGTCCAGGTATATCACGATGTTCGGCTTTTCAGGATGAAAAGTTAAATGCGAAGCATGCGTACGGTGGAGATTCTTTAAAAAAAATTTCAATTGATATGAAACTAAACGACCAAATACCAACGTGAAATTAAAGGATGTACATAAAATCCCAGTTTTCCCTAGTAGTAGTTCAATGTCCCTATTTCAGCGTTCTATGCCTTTATCTTGATTTTAGAACTCACAAGGTCCTCAGCCTCTGGAAGCGAGTTATATTGCTCAATATGCGTTATTTATCAATAAATCCAAAGATACGTACAAATGACATAATAAATGAACCTAAGAATGAATTTTATGTGAGAGATTTTATTTCCAAACAAATTTTACATTTAGTGATGATGAAAATAGATACATAGTCGTAAAACCACAGAAAATACAGACATTATACAGTATTAAATTGATATGTTTACGCAAGAGAAACAATCATTTTTTTAAACCTCTATTGATAATCTCTCTAGAAGATTGCTTTCTCATTTTTTTCCCTATTATGACGTAATGACTAGAATATATAATATACAAGATTCAAATCATGCAATCGAGCGTAACATACAATGCTTAGTCCTACACAAAAGTCAACTAGTATAAAGTTACATTGCACGTCAATAAATTCATAACAATTATTAAAAATTCATATGTTTTTTCATGATTTCTATCATCACATTCTAACATAAAACTATATTACTCATCACTATATGTTTCAATACACATTAGTGAATGCATATTTTTTCCAATATGGAATGACTTGTTTAGCTCTGTTTGGTTGATTAATTTTAGTTGGTCGACGTGCAATACAACTTATTGGGTTTGAGTTGAATCATTTAGAAATTGTTATAAGACTAAATAATGCGGGACATTCTAATAAAATACATATCAAAGTTTTCATTTTTCATCTACTGGCATAAGAAATTCCATTCCTGTACTGTATCTTATTTTTTAATGAAAGTGTTACATTATAACACGTAAACTCCTTTATTGTTTACATTCATGAAGTTCCATTGTATCCGGAGTGTAAAATAATTCGTCCACAATCAATTTTGATACAGAAGAAATTATTAACTTTACTCTCCTTTTAAATCACTTCGTATGAAGGTTTTTTAAAACATACTTTTAACTTCAAATGTGCTCAACACTAGGTCAGTACATCGAATTGAAGAAAATTTCTTTTATTTTTTTTCATTCTAGTGCTTCAGGGAAATCGAGTTTTTTTTATGTATTGGGGTTGTAATGCCAAAAAAACAAGTACTTATTATATCTAGAATCACATTTCTATGTCGCATTAAACGTGCGAAAACTTTTTTTTAAAATTATTTAACAAAGATTACACCTGGTAAAAGCTTATTTAGACAATGAATTTTGTAGTTTTAAATGTTATTTACTTTCTCTAGTGACATGGCTGTACAAAGTAATTTTTATAGTCTTGAAACAAACCATGGATACATCTTTAATTTTTTTTATTGTTTTTGGACGATAAAGAAAATTTGATAACAAACCAAAAATTATTTTTCAAACATATAGGCTATAAAAATAACAAAATTCTATTAAAACTTTAAGTTTAATGACAGTTACATTTTTTTCGTATACGTCATTTAGAATATTCATTGTGCTTTCACAAATATTTGAAGTGTTCATTCATGAACGATATAAAAATATTTCGGATACAAACAACCCTGATTGAATTCATTGCTGTGTCTTATGCTTTAGGTGATCATTTGTGTATTATACTATGTACATGTAGAAAAATTGTTAAAAATAATAGCAAAAAGAAAATAATTGTAAAACAACATTTTTTCCTTTAAAAATAAAAATCTATCATGTATATTCCTGATCCAATGTAATAAGAAACTATTTCTCCCTATTGTATATTACTCCGATATGTAGAACTTGAGTATCTGTAGTCCTAGTGAACTTTAACCTGTGAAAATAAAACAAATAAGACTAACTTATGATTTAGCAAATAATATAATGGTAAAAAAAAATGTTCCCAAGCAAAATACCAAATGCATGTTTACATAAAAATTAGCAGATGTAGTATGACTGTCAGTAAGACAACTGTCCATAGATCTAGACAAAAAAAAAAGACGTGAACAACCATTATTACGGTCTTCAACAAGGGGCGAAACCCATACCGTATTGTAAACTATAGTGACACAGGTATGACAAATTTAAAAGAGTTCAAAAGAGAAAACCAAGTGCCTGATTTATATTACAACAATGAACGAAACCAAATATGGCAACCAACGACAATCGCTGGACTACAGCTAAGCCATTTCAAAATTATAGTAGATTTTTTTATCTCGACGTCACACAACGCAGCTGTAAGCAAGTTGCGTTGTAATACATGTCATAGTGTCTTTCTTTAGACTAAGATAGTGTCAAAGAGATTACGAGTAGACGAAATTAGAAAAGAGCGAAGCGAGCTAGAAACTTCAAAAACACTAAAACAATACAAGGTCAAGACAATTCAAAACAGACAAATATGCACAAACATCACGAAAACATTCAAAAGGAATCCGTAATCATGAATTCTTATGTAATTCAAACACCCTCTCAATTATCGTCTGCGGAAGTTTTCTGCGTTTTGAAGCGTTAATCATTGCTGACTTTACAAACATTTTAATCGAAGGTTATTGCATACTTGAACATGTGTTATGGGCAGGGAAATCATATCAAACATTATTACTTTCACTACTGGTGGACTATCACCCGCCAGTTAGATATTGCTTCGTTATTGACAGGATTTAACTGTCAAAAGTGTAACATTGTGTGTGTACATTTCAAGTTCTTACAATTATGTAAGTCTGCTAAAACAGAGGTTAAAACTACTGACGACTAATTTGACAGACGGTTTGGTTGTAATGCTGTAGGCTCTTTAACGTTATATATTTTAAGCTTCCCAGACTTTCGGTCTCTAGAGTATCTGATTTATTAAGCACACGTAAATCATGTGAACACTTTTTCAATATTGCTTTACAAATGAATTAAATGCATTGACACTTGCTATAAAGATGTCAACACGACCCATTATAGCCAATTAAAATATCAAATGTACTATCACGATGAGACTAGAATAATCGAATATAATATGCCAATACAAAAAGTTAATATTTGCAAATATAGATCTAGGATTACCAATCACTATCCCCAAAAACGATAATGAATTGAATTTCATTTCACCGCTAAGTTCTCTGTTCTATTTAAATAAATTAAATGATGTGATATGATTGCCAATAAGACAACAATCATCCTTCAGAGATCAAATGACGTAGATGTTAGCAACTATAGGTACCCTGCCTTCAACAATGAGCAAAACCACATTCCTGTCCCGTACATACTCTTTTCAATTTAATCTTTTTAAAAATAATAGTATTATACATTCTTTTAGACAAAACTATAATGATATAAAGTTATTAGTGCATACAATGAGGGGTTTATCAAATGTGCAAAAAGGAGTTAAAAGACTACAGACTATATAAACAAATGTGACCATACTAAGTGCTATTAGCTGTTAATAAGGAACGATCATGGTATCATTCTGTCTACTTGTGCTGATGTGGAAGAGGGATAAAAAGTAGATTTTCATCTTATAACTACTTCAACATATGTCCTATTTTGAAAGTTAAATTTGTTTTTTTGATATTTATTTTAGTTAACTTTGTTGCTGGTATAAACAGTCTGAATAAAGAACAATATTTTCATCCATATATTTCCCCCATTAAAGCAGCTTTTAGCATTTAACACGTTCATTATGATGAAAATCTACTTCTTGAAAATATCTACCTTATAATCCGTAGAGGTCTTATTGACCTATATAGAAGAAAAGGAACCAGTAAAAAGTTTGTCGTACACACTTCTTATTCGATCTGACTTATGACCCATTCCTCTATAGTTAGTTATATTTTCAAGCCAAACAAAATAAGACTGATGCCGTGCATTATCAGCATTACCAATATTGAAATGTTGTCATTAATTTGTTTCATTTCTTATGGTTTAGAAGCCGACTTATTGATAAGAATTGTTTTAAGACGAGATTTGATGGAGTGCCAGAGGTATATTGTAATATCATATTTGACCATCTTAAAAAAAACATAATTTAAAGGCAAAGGCCCCTTGTCTATAATTCATGACTGTTTGTCGACCTTTACTAACTTTTAGGTTGCTGACTCATTGACGTATACCCCACATCTCCTTTCACTCGCAGAATTTCAAATAGTATGATGAAGCCGTCCAATAATGTGAATATATCAATTTAGCAGTATGATGAATTATAATCATTTATGATGAAAATTAAGCCGGTATGACGTCCATTGATTTTATATCATATTTAACAAAATACAATGAGTATTATTTACTTTAAATGCAATAAAAGTACCAGCTCCATATGATGAATGAATTATTTGGATATATGGCGACATAAGTAGATGGAGATGATGTTAAGATAAGAATCATTGTTATTGTAGCTATAAATGGTTTATATGTAGTTGCATTGATTGTATAAGGTCGGGATATGTACCGACAATTATCACTCGGTTGGACTTATTTCATGGATTAAGCTTTTAGTTGATTAAAAATCTAAGGTATAAAATGACGTCAAACATATATGACCGGAGAGAAAAATCTTAATGTAGTTATTTTTTCTATTATTTTGATTAAACTGTGGTAGTATGCGGTAATCAATATTATTTTATCATTTAATTTGATACACACATGAAAGATTTTTAGTCCTTTGCAATAACATAACTAATTAACTACATCTTCGTGCATCTGTACTTTACTGAGTAAGTTTCGTTTCTATCAGATTCGAAACTATGCAGTATTTCACTGTATAAAATGATTGGTTATAATGCGTCTTGCGAAAAATATAATTTACTTATTATTTTTTTCTTTATATTAACATGTTAATTGCGATAAAAAAAAAACTTGTGCTATCAAAAATATATAAAAAGTTATATGTCATATTCAAGTTAACCTTGCAAAGATAAAAATTAAAATGAAAAAGCATAATGAGTGTTGAGAACAGAGAGATCATTTTCCTATCACATATGTATAAAGAGAAAATTGATGAATATAGTTAAACTGCATTTAGATTAATGAACGACAATATTTATATACCTCGTCTCCAACATGGGTATGGAATGTAACTGCTTCCGTTTCGTCGGAGACACAATCGTAAATGTCTGTTTCTCTTGTCAACAGTTCCGGTGTTGTCTTCGTTGTCAGTTTCTTCTTCAATCGATTCCTTCTCTAGTACGTATTTGTTAATTTTGCCTTCCTTTTCCAACTGAAATTAAGAAACAATATGAATAAATTATTTTAAAAAAAAACACTATAATAAATTCATGCATTTTGTCTGCTTGAAGCTTATTTAAAAGAAATAATAAAAAGGAATAAAGGGAATGCCTATAATCCGGTACAGTACAAACCCACTACAATGGGCAAATTTTGATAAAAAGAACTGAAAATTAAGCTTGTGTGGCCTAATTGCGATTTTCTAAGTAGGCGGAATCGCATATGTTGAACGATTTCTAAAAAGTGCATTATTTCATTAGTATAATGACTTTGATTTGAATAAACAACAATCAGTCTAGCGGTATCACAAACAGTCATATATTGATAAAATCTTTGTTTAATTTAATGGCAATATCCTTTGCATAAGATACTACCAAAATTAATGTTCAGATACCATGCTCGTCGACTTTAATTGTCCCTTTTGGTACTTTCTGCCTCTTTTTCATACCTTCATCTTGCCAATTTACAACAGCGACACTATAGTTTTAAAAACATCAAGAAGGTTTGTTTACCGTAAGTATTTACAAGCTGTTAAACGTGTACAATGAAAGAGATAGGTTATTTGAGTATATTTTTGTACCAGTTTTTTTCTGCTAAATTTTCAGAAGTGGATCACTCTTACGTGGACTTAAACTGAAAATTAGTAGTAACATGTTTTGAAATAATCTTTTGAAATTCCTTATATTAAAAAAAACCCCATTATTTACAAAGAAATATTACGCAACCAATTTCATTCAATCTTAATACAATTTTATCAACAATATAACTTAAATTTCATTTAAAAGCGATAAAAACGGTAACTGAATACAGAAGGTTGAAAGGGAAACAATTTTGATGCAAAAGAACGCCGTTGTAACGAGTTTTTCAAGTTACACTAAGGGCCGTTTTACATAAATCAGAGTTAGCATATCTTTTTTTCCACTCGGTAAATGTTTTGCATATTCACAAGATCATATTAATGACTTTAATTCCAAAAAGTTCATCATTCAAGTACAAATCAATTTTTATAGTTATTTCTATTAATTCATTCAAAGTAAAATATTCAGTATTTAATTCACTTCATTTTGCAAATGATACACCTTTCTTTTCAACTTAACAGAATTAGTGAAAAAGTTGGTTGAACTTTATATTAACAGCACATTGATAGTGCATTTTAGCAGCGGAAAATTTACAGATTTTCCCCACAATAAGGGAAAAATTTTCAAAGAAATATCGTATCTAATTTATAAAAAAAAATCAAAATATAATATTAAGTGTTGTTTCCATTGCTGTCTTCGTGTTTATTTTTTATCATCGCAAAAACACAGATTTTTTTTTGACAATCTATATTATTTAACATTAACCAAACCCTTTTTGAATAGATAATTTTCAAATATGTACGTGTGTATATGTTGCGAAAAAACCGTCACGTATGATCTAGAAAAATTACAAATTTTCTGTTAAATGGTCCGGGTTACAGGGCCCTTTTGGTTTTTGCCTTTCTAAATTGACTTCTTTTACTTAAAAATAACTTCTATCTGACGACAAACCAAAATAACAAAATTTCAAATCCCCATAAAATAAAAACTAAACAAATTAAAGAACAGATAAATCATGTCTACTTTATGTAAAAATCATTGAACGTCGCCAACTCATGTTTTCTACACCTCTGGGGACAATGTCGTATCCGTTTTCATGAATCAAACAAATTTAATCATGTTTAGAATATCGTGACCAGAAAAGCTAAGATATTTTGCCAATCGATTTTGTCATAACTAATGTCTTAAAAATGTCAAATGTGTTTTTTCAAGACATGCGATAGATTTGCGAATTGACATCTTGAACGACATATTAATCATCTATCTAACATCTCTAATTCAATTCCACATCTATTGTTTAAGTAAAAGTTCAATATAAATACGTTTAAAGAGGAAGGCAATGACTAACATCTCAGTTTTACTAACATCTCTCAAGTGAGATGTATAATAATTCATGCCTCATATATATTTTGTTATACGAAAACGGGTTCTTTTATTGGTTCCAATCAAATATTTATTTACAGGATTGTTACCACACTTATACAACAGACACCAAAAAAACATTCATCAACATTTATATATTATATATACATAAATTGTTGATATATGAAAGATGCAAACAGTTCATGTGCAGCGAGTTAAAGTACATGCCAGTATATATCAGTTAATAAAAGTACATGTACATCGAGTTAATAAAAGTACATGTACATCGAGTTAATAAAAGTACATGTACATCGAGTTAAAATTTAAAAAAAACAGTTAGAGATAAGGTTCAATGACGAAAATTTACACATGGCATCAACCGCCATAAAACTGAGTTTTTAAAGTCAAAAATCAAATACCTTGTACTTGTAAAATCTCATTAAAGATAAAAGGCACATACTTGTTTAAATACGCCAGACAAGCGTTTAGTTACATGGGTTTCATCGGTTGCGCTCGAATCCAAAAAGTTGCAATATAAACCATTTAATTCCAAAACGGGTTAAAATACACAAACAGAATTTTTGGGTAAAATAGACAAAATAGAAATAAGGAGATAAAGTATGATTGCCAATGAGACAACTATCCACCAAAGTTCAAATGGAGAAGATGTAAGCAATTATAGGCAACCTTACGGCCCTTAACAATGAACAAAAAAAAACATACCATATACTGTTTTTTACTCTTTGGTCGGGTTGTTGTCTCTTTGACACATTCCCCGTTTCCATTCTCTATTCTTATGTGCGAAATATTTGCAAAAGTAACTTGTAAAAGTGTATATCACTAACACGGTGAGCTACACATTGATAGGAAAGCAACACTTGACTTTTTTTCATTTCTGAAGTCTTCGGAATGCAACGTTTGACTTTTTCATTTCTAATGTCTTAGGAATGCAACGTTTGACTATTTCATTTCTAATGTCTTAGGAATGTAACGTTTGACTTTTTCAGTTTTAATGTCTTAGGAATGCAGCATTTGACATTTGTCATATCTTATGTCTTTGGAGTAATATTTTTTTTTCATTTTTAATGTATTAGGAATGCAACATTTGCCTTTATCCATTTCTAATGTCTTAGGACTGCGACATTTGACTTTGTCATATCTTATGTCTTAGGAATGTAACACTTGGCCTGTGTAATAAATAATTAAGTAATGTCTTAGGAATGCAACACTTGAATTATGTCATAAATAAAGTCTTAGTAATGCAACACCTGACTTTTGTCATATCGAATGTCTTAGGAATGCAACACTTGACTTTTGTCATCAATAATGTATTAGACATGCACCCCAAGGGTGACTGGGGAATAGAAATATGGTCACTACAGGTATTCTTACGACCAACAGTAAAACCCTTGCCAAGTGGGGCGTCCGTTTGGCTGTGCGGGATGTACAAGTACGCAGCCACGTCCTGTCAGAATATAAACGTTAAATCCGACGACTCGCGTAGAGAGTGCCACGCTCTCTGCACGTTAAGAACCCTTGCAACAACTCTTTGATGGGTCCGTAGGTGGCCTGTTGCAAGGCAAAATTTCATTTCTGTTCCTTTTCAATTTTACCCTTGTTTTCCAGTGGCAGTCTAAATTTCCCCGACCTTCACCCCGGACGTCCTCTACTACAGGACCTACTTATTGTATGTATTGTTAATTTGTTCTCGACCTTAACATGCATGAAATATTTGCCACTGGACGTTAAGCAACCAACAATCAATCAATCAATTTTATGCATGCAACACTTGAACTTTGTCATTTCTCATGCCTTAGTAATACAACATTTGATTTTTTTTTCATTTCAAATGTCTAATGAATGCATCAAATGACTTTCTTCAAATCGAATGTCTTAGGAATGCAACATTGGCTTCTGTCGTATCTAACGTTTTAGGAATGCAACAATTGACACAAATGAATACAAGTAGAATCTAGATTTTGAGTAAATACGTCGATAGAATAGCAACCCAACAGCTCATCAAACCAAGACATGTAGAGATCAGCAACCTGTCTATTGCATTACATGACTCGTCCTGAGTATAAACATTTGCCACGTGACGTTAAACAAATAACAATAAATCAACATTTTACGAGTAACTATCTGGACTTTGTATATACTTTACCATAGTATATAACTATATGCCGATATTTATACAATTTAGAAAAGTATGTTTTTTTAATTTATCATGTTTAACTGGAAATAAGTAGTTGGTATCTGTAGTTCTTCATACTTGTATAGTATAATTATCATGCCTTATGTTTTCGAAACTTAAAAACTTAATGAATCAAAACAGGTACGAAAGTTATCTCGTTGATTTTATGTAATTTTACGTTCTTTTTATTTAAATGTATCATATTTGCCAGATATTTTAATTTGGTATGTCTCGAAAAGTGTAAACATAAAAAACTATTGTTTTTGTCGATCTTTATGGTCATGTCCATGTGTTCTAGTTGAATGCACAATTTCTGATGATAAAACTATATGAGCTCGTCCATTAGCGTACCTGTGACTTCAATTAAGTATAAAAACAAAGCATAGAAAATTTCTGCATCAAGCATCATAATATAAAATACCGTAATTAATTTTTATCAATTTTCTTCTTTTTAAAAACATGTTAAGAACAAACGAGTCATCCTTACTATCATACGGGATTATAGTAATGGAATTTATTCTTAGTCAATGATATTGCTCGGTAAAGTTCAATCTGTAACGTTATCAAGGGACAACGAAGAAAAATACGAAAGCATGTAATTAATTTCGCTATTTAATCAAACACAAACTAGAACAGAAAGACTTTTCCATACTGTCATCTCCTCCAATCAATATTGAATTAATTGTCATGTGACACTCACAGAGTTGGAGTAGGTGTTAGAACGGTATCAGAAGTGACAAATTTGTATGTTGAACATTGATAATGTCCTTTTAAAGAATTATCTGGACCTTGTATATACTTTACCATAGATGATCACAAAAGAGTTCATTCCCTTACATTGCGAATATTCACATGTAGCCATAATTTTGTAAAGTAAACGCAATTTAATTACCTGTATCAAACTCTTTTTCACGTTTGAACTTGTTTTATAAAGGTAAACATGTTGGGTTTCTTGAAATTTATTTTATTTTACATGATGGACCGAAACTACATTGCATTTCAAGACCGTTTGTGAGCCCTAGACACATCTTTTTTTTTATAATTTTTTAATTAATTTTCGGTCTCAGTGATATATTATATCGTCTCCTAATATTTTCATTTAAAGGTACACCACTGTGCCCACTTCACAACAATGACATTTTTTTATTCATATGAATATAAAAATAAGGAGATGTAGTATGATTGTCAAGGAGAAAACTATTCACCAAAGACAATTACAGGTCCCCGTACGGCTTTCAATAATTAGGTAAACCCACACCATATAATAAGCTATAAAAGGCTCTGTGATGAAAAATTGTAAAACAATCCAAAAAGGAAAACGAACATGCTATAGTATACAATATTTGTTTCATTACATCCTGTTTGCCATCGGAATATTCATCAAAAGACATTTAATTGACGAGAAAGTACCTGAACCAAGGTTTGCGTACTAAAACATATAGTTTGTATTTTGTAAAACAATACGCTTTTTGAAATTTAATGTTCAACATCAAAGGATAGACCATATACAGGACTGTAGGATGGTTGATCGTCAGATCGGTACCAACATCAACCGATAGACCATATACAGGACTGTAAGATGGTCGATCGTCAGATCGGTACCAACATCAACCGATAGACCATATACAGGACTGTAAGATGTTTGATCGTCAGATCGGTACAAACATCAATCGATAGACCATATACAAGAATGTAAGATGGTTTATCGTCAGATCGGTACCAACATCAACCGATAGACCATATACAAGAATGTAAGATGGTTTATCGTCAGATCGGTACCAACATCAACCGATAGACCATATACAGGAATGTAAGATGGTTTATCGTCAAATCGGTACCAACATCAACCGATAGACCATATACAGGACTTTAAGATGGTTGATCATCAGATCGGTACCAACATCAACCGATAGACCATACACAGGAATGTAAGATGGTTTATCGTCAAATCGGTACCAACATCAACCGATAGACCATACACAGGACTTTAAGATGGTTGATCGTCAGATCGGTACAAACATAAAAAGTAACAAATAACAAAATGACAAAAGACACAACTAGCCTTAGAGAATTAGCAGTTACTGAAAAGCGGTTCGAAGTCCAATTTCAACTAATTGATAGACCATGTTTTCCCTGTCTTTTTTCTTTCAAAGTTACCCGCATTGAAAGAACATTTTTTTCTAACTTGGGTTCTTCATTATTCTACCTAATGCTCTTCATTACTGGAGGAAATAAAGATATATATATATACCAATTTTGCAATCGTCTTGGAGCATGGTCTTTTTAGAATAAATAATACTTCAGTGTTTTTTCGAGGAAATTTAAAAGAATTGACTTCAGTCACTTTAATTTCAGCTTCCGATATAAGAGGACGTTTCTGAATTGATATTCAAAGTTTGTCTTACCAAAAAAAAACAACACATAGAGTACCAACCTAAGAGTACTTACAACTGGAAACAGTCAATATGTATGATCCTGCTTACAATTACTGTAAGATAGATTAAAGTCAAATTTCAAATTATAAATTTCCAAGACTTATTAACAGCTTTAATATTTATGAATATGATTTAAACTTTGGACAATAACATATATGTTAGTACGAACAAAGGCAATATTCAAGATCTAAATGCAATGTTTCGATAAATACTTGAAATCTTAAAGGCAATATTCGCGATCTAAACCCTATTTGAATGTTTAAGTGGTAATCTTTAAGAATAAGAGTATTTATGGGGTCAATCAGCTGATATGATCTTAATCTACGGGCTCTAAAAACTACACCACCGTAAGAAAAGTATTCGATGTCCTCTAAAAACTACACCACCGTAAGAAAAAGTATTTGATGTCCCGTTAGTAGTAATGTTTCAATCAATGTTTAGAGAAGGAAAATATCTGATAGTTTATGGACTATTCAATTACTAGAAGTTTCCTCTTCTTCACTTTTATCTGACTTCACGTGCTTGTAATCAAATAATCATGCAATGTCGTTTGTCTTCATTTTGGAATATTAAATCAAAATAATACGCACATGCATGTCCCAGCTGGTCTCGATACATAGCGTTGTATTTCTACATATCCAGTTTTAGCAAAATATGTGAAATCTTAAATGGTACTATGATGGTATTGTATAGATTTCAGTGATTTCAGCTGCTAGAGTGCGAGAAGTCTGAGGTAAGATCCCCGGTCGGTTCTAACCAAAGACTTAAAATTTTGTATTTGCTGCTTCTCCCCGAAGCACTCTTAACTTGTGGGTAAGAGCAGACAAAGACTAGACGACGCGGAGTCAGAATGATATGACCGGTGGGGTGATGGTCTCCCTGCGGACTGATTGTGAAATAGTGCGTTCATATGACCTATACGATAAATAGATTAACAATTATTTTAAAAAGCAACCAAAACTTAAGTGTGCAGTATCTGATGTGTCACCACATTTTGATATTAAGTCCACAATTTTTTTTGCATACACGTTAAATAAATATCTATTGCACAAGGGAAAACAATAGCGTCGAATTAATTGTATTTGTAGTGGTTCATCCACGGAACTTGAATCGCTCACCGTTCTGCTGATTGATTAGAATTTGTATTATACTATTGTCGTCATTTTAGCTAACTGTTAGTGATCAGAAACTTTTATGGCAGTGGAAGTTATTATGGATTTTATGACAAGAGAAAGAATACCAAAAATCGTATACTTCTGTATGCGGAATGTTACTGTATGCGGAATGTATAAATATGTAGTCTCGTATAACTAATTTGGAGTCAGTTCTTAAATGCGTGGGAAACCAGACGTGTGACCCAGTGGCGGATCCAGAACTTTTCATAAGGGGGGGGGGGGGGGGCTGACTGCCCTAAAGGGAGGGGCGCTCCAGTCATGCTTCAGTGATTCCCTATATAATCAACCAAATTTTTCCCACAAAAGGGGGGGCAGGCACCCCAGCCCCCCCCCCCCCCCCACCTCTGGATCCGCCTATTAGTGTCTGGATGCAAAAGCTCTTGCAGATACGTTTGCTAAATGGTGCGTGTTTGGTTGTTTAAGATGTATGAATACACAATTACGTTCGTTTGGCTGTGTAGAACCACGACCACTCCGCATTCGGATTGTTTGCTCCAAGATGAAAATAGTATTCTTCAAGAGGCAGTCATTCATATAAAGTGGAAAATCGAATTTTACTTTTAATCAAGAGTTCGATCATAACGCCTTTTTCGATTTAAAGTTTTGTTCAATTCTTGCCACCGGAATAAAATTATAATACTAATACATTAGTTTAATCCTTAAAAGTGTTTACACCTCAGACACTAGATGCATATATTTTTACTACTAGGCCCATGATAGACTGTTTCGCATGTAAGCGGTATTTTTCCTTTAAAATGTTTGGACCAATTTCCAACGAATCTATTTAACACTACCTAGGGCCATTCTCAATTTTCTTCAATCCTTACTAAACTTTACCGGACCGCAACTTCATATTTGTGTATTTCGAGGTTCTATGTATGTCGTATTTTTTTAACTACTAACCTAATTAATAAAGTGGCTCAACACTTTAAAAAATTCGGCCAATTTCTAATTGAAAAATGACACAGGAAAGATGTATTAAAACAAAACCAAAATTCTACCTGAAGGAATTTGAAAGCTATGTAGTGTCCTGCAAAATTAATTTATTCATTTTGGTAATGGGTGTCCTTTGATATAAAATTTTACTACAACATGCAAATTTCAATATCTTATTCAAAATTGTTTCGGTATCAGTTTGTAACACCGAGCAAGAATGTAATCATTTTGCGAAAGGGAAAGATATTGCAAAATCCTTTAACATTAATAAGATCCTTTTAATATTAAAATTCCTCCATGTTTCATCAACTCAAATAAGTAAACCTTTTTTTTAAATTGAGGGGACTTGGTGATACCTATTTATTTCTCGGAGATTTTAATGAACTTACCTTTTGTAAAGATACGTATACCAATTCTTTGAAAAAGTCAAGATCTCTTGTATCCATGTATTTCGGCCTTTTTTCTTCTAAATGCTGAGAAATAAAAGGAAAAACGCGTCATTTCAAATTTGATATTTTAATTATTTACAATTATATTAACTATGACTAAAGAAAACCAACCAATACCACTTAACAAAATTACACATCTTCAAATTACTGTACGGTATAAAAAGGTGAGCAGTTGACTTTATTATCTGGAGTACGATGATGTTAATATGTACAACAAAAAAGTGGACAAATGCCTGAAAAGTGACTTCGCAAATTATAATTTAAACGCCTCTTAATATTGCGCCTGATCGAGATACTCTATTACTTTACTAACCCTTGCTCTATCTATATGGGACGATGTTTTGTGAGTGAACACCTTGCAAGTACCATGGCAAATGTTTACTCTACGCGAACTCGGCAAACGGAAATTACGGCAAAACTAACCCTTTGAGCAAACAGTATTCTGGGCAAAAATATCTTTAAGATCACATGGCAGTGCATTTGCTTTGGAGATGGGAAAAATTAGTATACTTATTAATTTCTTTCATAAACTACAATGCAGTTTATTGCTGAGAACGATATTTACAATATTAAAGTATTTATTTGTTATTTACTGATAGTTCATACACAACTGGCTACCGACTTTGTATCGATTAAGTACCTAGAATGAGTATTTGAGCAGTCACAGATTTCTAGACCATTCTAATGTTGGGAGGATTCGCATTTAAAGTGAATACAAAATGTATTTGCAGATAAACGCGATAAGAGTTTTATATCTCTAAAGAAAAAACTTCCGAATGCAAGCACAAATTCATTCAAATTAAATTATATGTCTTTCGGTTTAAATCACACGTTTTCCTAAAAATAAAAATCGGCAAATTCGTTCTTTAAGGTTTATACATGTTAGAGCTTTTCTTTAATGAGATCACAAAAGGTTTGCACGCAATGTTAAAGACAGGAAGGCGAACTGTGACTTACCATATCAGTAGCTTCCTGTGTGTCAATGGGTATTGAAATCACTGTAGATATAAGTGTAACAAAGGCCAACAAACAGTATGTAACAGTCATCATGTTGATCTCCATCCTACAATAAATTGAATAAAATATTGTTTAAATGTCGTTTTTATATCTCCGTCCTTTAGTTTCTACGATACCAATTTCTATACAAACGCAGGCTGAAATTTTAGGATTTAGCAGGGAAATCACTGATTCATTTATTTTGTAAGTATTTATGTCAAAAATGATAAAAAATATAATACAAATGTATGAAACATTAAATTATTTTCAATTTCAGTATTCTAGGTATCATAAGCGTATATGACATGGACATTTACATGTACACAGCAATGTTTTATGGACACGTGTACATTTTGGATTCATTAAACCTTCAACTCAAGCTTTTTTAGTATTTAATATATCAAAAAATCATGCAGTTTTAAGAATTTTCATCACATATTTTAGTCTAATTAGGTCGTTATCAGCCCTTCATATTAAAGCATTCAATGCTTCCAAATTGTTCTATTTCATATTTTATCCGTTTCCGAAAGTACAAAATAGAAGAATCATCAAGTGGAAAATTTCTGTGAAGTTCCGAGTACAATTAAAATTTTACACGTGATTTAAACGCAAATCACAAAATTAGCATGCTGATGACAAACCTGGAGATCAACAATCATGTAATGTACGTTAATTAAAGTTCTCATTGAAGATTAAAGTGCTCTTAACGCCTTCAGGTTACAAAATCTAACTCTGCAAATGAACACTTCACAGTCTTTTTTTCCTTTTACAATTTATCCTTTGAAATTTTAGTATAGATTAGCCATATGGATCCCCAAGATATAGGAGTGTGCATTTTAATAAAACAAAATAAAAGAAGTTACTTAAGGGTGTTTGCGTTGGTTTGTATTTTGCAATTCATATGTTTTCATCTTCACATGATATGCAGACAGATTTTCTACTAATGAGATATATATGTAGCAGTAACAGAATCGAAATTCTACATTACTATCGGATTTGGCAATATGTCCGATGCCATAACAGCCTCTTCAGAAGTACCCAACTGTTACAAAAATATAACTTTTCTGGACATCTTTAGATATATATACGTTTTGTCCTCCTTCTTAGATAGTCGACATGGCGATCTGAAGTTCTTTTCTGATTATACACCCTGTGAAGCCTATCAGCTCTTCATGATGCGTCGGTAAAAGGTCTTATACAATTGTCAAAATGATCCTTCTATTTTATTTGTCCACATATTTGCAGATTGCGATTATTTGACGTTAATCAAACAAAATAACTGTTTAAAGGCAATTTTATCAGAAATACTTCTAAAAATGTAATTTAAGATACTTATTTGTCAGTAGTCGGATTAGAATTCATAATTATCAAAAGTAATTCTGATTGCCTCTATTCTGAGTGGCGATTATAAATAAGAAATGACCTCTTTTATTGCATGTCTAGTCGACTTTAGTTGTTATTGTTCTCGCTCACAGGTTCTGTTAACGAACAAATCAAATTATATCCCTTAAGTGTAAGACAATACTATTAAACCCTGATTAACTAGTACAGGATTGAAATATGCTTAGATTACTTTTTAGAAATAGAGAAAAAACATAAATAATTAAGGAATTATCGAAAAAGTTCGTTTGTTTGACTGTATGTTAGAGAAATTTTAGAATGAGACAAAACCTCAAAAATAAACTCAATATAACTATACGTATCTATAGGGATAAAAAATGGAGTGCAGAAATATATGAATATGTAGACTTTTCAAACCGTCTAAGTTATACTTAGTGGCTCTAAAGAGACACCCTTTATGCTGTATGGATGTACATATACCGTATTATGTATTTACAGATTGACACTCTAAGTATGTTCAAAATTCGGTCTTGTATGTCACATGTTTCCCCAATACAAGATGTACCAACATTCCTGCTTCACGTGGCAGTAATTTCTTCTAGTTGTGGTTACTCCTCTTTTTTATTTCTTAATAATGTTTCAATGCTTTCGCATTGAATATTTATTAAATATAAACAATTCGACATTAAATAAACACAGATCAATCAATTTTACTCACGAATGTTTTTGTCATGATTGTGTAATATTCTGAATAATTACGTATGAAGAATTTCTATTTTCAATGTATGCCATTTTACAAGTAAATGTTCATACCAGTTAAGTAGAATTGTCGCATTCTTAATTTTGTTTAAATTGGAGGGGAACGGGACCCTATTCAAATCTTAAGTAGATGATTCAAATTGATTTTTTATTTCACCTCCATCTGCGAGTGGATATTTTGTATGTTATTACTTATAATCGAATACGACTTATCTTTGGATTTTGTCAAGAAAATAAGACGAGTGCCACTTTTGAAATAAAAACCGTTTTTCTTTCCAGAGCGACCAAAATAACCCTAGATTTTAGTGGGGTTCATTTTGCTCAATTTCTATTCTAGTCTTCTATTTGTTTTTTGTTTTTTGTTTTTCCCCCATATGGTCAGATCTTCTTCATCTTATGATTTTTAAAACCCTCTAAGTATCTTCTAAATTTGAATGATACGTTAAGAATTTGAACAACTGCATTATATGCCAATGATATGTTAAGAATTTGAACAACTGCATTATATGCCAATGATATGGCAAGGAGAAACAATGTTTTCTAGTGAACGTTCATAAAAGACAAAACTTGATGTCGTCTGCAATCGAAGGAACAAAGCATGCGTATTCTTGCAATCACAAAGTTTTTCATCTACATTTTTCTATTTGATTTCATCGTTAAACATGCAGTGAACGTTCTTTCGTCCTTACGTTTGGAAGCGTTGGTAAATCTTAGTTGATAAAATCTGCAGATGTATGAATGCGAAAAGATCGATTCATTTAAAGTGTTATGTTTATATTGAAATTGCTTTTGCTGTGCTCAATTTTGCAAAGTAAATCAACTATTTTGTTTTCCCATAAGCGAAATAAAGTAATTTGATTAACAATTTATGAAGAAAATTACTCAAATTAACATTGCAGCTTCAGTTTTCAATGTGTGCCTTCCTCGTGGTAAAGTTTTTCATAACCAATTTTAATCCAATAACCACGTTGACACAACACATCTGAGAAGCAGAATTTAAAGCCTGGTTCTGGTTCTTGCTTTGGAAATTAAAGTTAATTATCACAGAGGGGATCATCAAAATACAAGCATGATAAATGATCCAAAAGGAAGATTTCATTTAAGTGTCAAACTATATTAAGGTTACGAGTTTTTTTTGAAGTTATTCAACCTGTAACTGTATTAAAAGGTTTGTTGGAATCAACTGCGCTGTAAGTAGTGAGGATTAAAATGCACTGATCTCGAGAACAAAATATTTTAATTACTAACGGTTAATATATATGCCAAATAATTTGAAAACTTCTCTTTTCAAGTACACGTACTATTCTAATGGAAACGACTGTGAACGGATTCCCTATGAGCACACTTCCGTCAATATATTTCTCCTTTTAACACACAAGTAACGGAGTTTTATTTTGTAGACCGACTGTATTTAAAATTAGAGGGAAAACGACGCAGTATAGACAACTTTATGCAGTATTCGAACATAAATAGAAATACAATTTTACACTCCCAATCAACTTTTACATTTACGAACACAATATACTTTAAAATTTGCTTATCCCAACTCGTTGATTTCGGCGGTGGCTGTAGTGACGTTTTAGATTGCAATGAACGCAATCTGTGTATAACTTGTTAATTATTAAGTCAGGGATTTCGAGACCACAAATAACTTCAAACTTTACTTTATTCTTTCATAGATACACAAATTTAGTTAATTAGTTTATCTGTACCTTTCGGAACCTTATTACGATCGGGATATCACATCCTATATTTCATACTGAAGTTGTTTATAGAATCCGTATATTAAGATACGATCCGTGTGATCTTATTGATTCTTTGAATAAACTTATTCATAAAGGAAATCAACTTAACACTTTAGTAAGATCTTTGAATATGGTCTTTATTGGTACTAAAATTGATTTTTTTATTAATGAATTAAAACATAACTAAATATGTATTGCTATACAGTTATGCAAACTTGTTGTCCTACATCTTGTCCATATTGATATTTTGACATTGCACAAGGTCCTGCTTTTCTCAGACTGTTTACGACGTCTTTATACTAAATCTGTTGGATGAGTGCAGATGGATATTTTATATGTGTGATCATGCATGGCTTATTTATTGGTTGAAATTGCGCTTTTAACTAACTTTCAGTAACTGCGAGTAATCTATATCGGTACGTTGTGCCTTTTGTCTTTTTGATAACTTTTTTTTATGCTTGTGCCCCTTTCAAATTTGTTTTTATGCTGTGTAAAACCAACGCACTGGGTTAATGGAAAATTGAGCGCTGGCATAATGATTTAACCTCACAACATTATGAATTGGCATGCCACAAGTCAGGAGCGTGTAATTCAGCTGTCGTTGGATGATCTCTGCATGTCTTATTTGTTTCTTTGTGTATCGTTTTATCGTTTACAAATTAAGCCATTGAGTTTTATTGTTTGTATTATTTTGCATCTTGTCATATATAAAAAAGAAGATGTGTTATGATTGCCAATGAGACAACTCTCCACATGAGACCAAATGAAACAGAAATTAACAACTATAGGTCACCGTACGCCCTTCAACAATGAGCAAAGCCCATACCGCATAGTCAGCTATAAAAGGCCCCGAAATGACATATGTAAAACAATTCAAATGAGAAAAATTAACGGTCTAATTTATGTACAAAATATAGCTTACTATACGGTTTGGTTTTTACTCATAGTTGAAGGCCGTACGGTGACCTATAGTTGCTTTCATCCACGCCATTCGGTGTCAATTTGATAGTTGTCTCATTGGCAATCATATCACATCATCTTTTTTTATATTGTACATGTATACGTACAAAAAATATGTAAACGAGACAAACTCGTATCATAATAAAACAAAAACATCGCTGAAAACCATGTAAAGAATGACATAAAGAACTCTAATAGTCATGCGTGTCATCTTTGTGGTTGGTCTTTTATGTAATTTTGACGCCTGCATTAAAAGAATTCA